ACGGAAAACATGAAATTTTGCAACAATCTTGCGCCACCCTTGCACATAACGACGCTCATTTTTCCAATTTCATAGATAACAGAAGACTGTATTTTTTCTACTTAACTCCGCAACTCGAAACGTTTTGCTTATTGGTAATTTATAATCCTAAACCGCGGGAATTTGACCCAGATCTTGAGGCGAAAAGACAAAACGAATTATCGCAGAAAAAGAGCGATAAACACGGAAACACATTGACCGAAGCTAACCGAGTGGAACTGATGATGATCGCTAATTAAGATCTGCATAGCCACGTTTCAGGTTGTCGGTATAGAAAAGGGGACAGTCAGTCAATTGAACAGCAAATAAATAAGGAAAGAAAGGGGCGTAACGCATCTAGTTGGGTGCGAGTTTGATGGAATTCGACCGAGTTGTTCGATTTTTATGCTTTTAGGCAATTGGCACACTGAGATACGCTAAACAATTCCGGCATCGTTGTCCCGTTGCAGGAATTGTTATTTTTAACACGCAAAGTGCACCAGAGAACCAGCGCAAAGTCACTGCTGTGAATGGTTTTTCTATCACATTTTAAACAGTATGCTTTCCTAAGTGGATTAGTGTTCTGGCCTGAACAAGTGCAAGTGCTTGGCCGCACTTCAGCGTAGTCTATTTAATAAGAGTGTGTGCATAAAGCCAACCATAGTGTCATGTTAATAACATTCCTAAGCAAGCGAATGCAGTGAATAGTGCTGTGTTTAATTAGTAAATATTACAATAAAAACGATGCTGTTTGGAATATGCGTGATTGCCCAAGGAGTCTTTGAATATCGAGTGAATTTGCTCAAGATTCCAACCAGTTTTATGACGAGTTCAAAAAGTTACGGGTCTTCACCTTGTCCCACAATTCACTGACTCATCGCGCTTCCAATAAGTGCAAAAATGCATGGCAGAATTCCATGAATTTCGCTTCAGCTGGTTTCATAAAATCAACAGATTTATCACATGCACTGAACAGATTCCTTTCAGCTTATGATTTTGAGTTGAAATTTAAGTTTGCATCGACTTTTCTCGGTTTGCTTTGCATTCTGGATGTAAAAGTTGTGCCGAGCCCTTCGGGCACGACACTGGTTGAAGTAGATCAAGAGGAAATCAAAGAAACACAGTTTTTAAGCCTCAACCAGTAGCGTGCCCGAAGGGGTATGGAAATGTATGTTGGCTTTGATGAAATTGCACCAATTTATTGTGAGAGCAAAGTCAAAGTCGATGCCGGTCAAGAAAACGAGCTTCAATAAATGGGCAAGAAATTAGGGAAAAGTGCCGTATCGCAAAGTGTAAATCAACATTTTTATATCATTTCGGCGAGACAGCAGCGCCATCATCCGATTTAAAATTCATACAAACTCATAATTGGGAAACATTAGATTCTTTTAGGTCTTTGCTGTCTTGAAACCTCAAATTTGTTCGAATTATTGTCAACAWTTTMCYGCRGKAAAWTGTTGACAATAATTCGAACAAATTTGAGGTTTCAAGACAGCAAAGACCTAAAAGAATCTAATGTTTCCCAATTATGAGTTTGTATGAATTTTAAATTGTTAGTTAGAAGCAAAAATGTCGCGACTACTTTTGCATCATGTACATAAACAACCTGTTTAATAAGCCATAGAGTCACTAAGGAAAAAACTCTAGGAGAACCGTGCAATAAATCATATTCCAAATCAGCAAGCCACATCACAGCATGCACACAATCTTAAAAAATAAACTCTACCTGCTGGCAGTTCCCTGGATGCTTCCATGTCCAAGGAACACTTTCCAATGGAATCGATGGACGTTTCCATGTTCGGTCTACAAGCGTTTTCCAATCCAGCAATCAGCAGCCGACTTGAAGCCGTTTTGCATTGCTCGAAAGGCTTGAAAGTGGCTCGGGGTAGCGATCTGGTGCCACTCGGCAAACCGGTTTGCTGCTCAGCGCTGGTCAACGTAATCTTAACTCTGGATTCGAAACTGACTGGAGCGCTGTCGCTACGCAGAAAAGCTGACCGTCGGTCGCTGATCGTTTTCCTTATAGAGCTAATGTCGGACTCTAAGCCGTTGTTTATCACAGTGTGTGGGAATTCGGGTGGGTCAATAGCAGTTTCTTGGGCTTCTTGCAATTCGAGTCGTATATTTGCTAACTGTGCCAGACAACTGTTTGTCTGCACTGCGCCAGATTGAGAAGCTTCACTTTCCGCTGGAATTTGTTGACCTGCAGTTAAGTGGCAAATGTAAGAGCGAAAAACACTGTTGGCGACGTAAAGGCTAATCGCACACGAGGAGGCTTCTCTAGCCGAGGAAATGAACTGGTCATTAAAAGAACAGTGGCACTTAAGCAGACTAAAAAAGTCCCACTTTCATTGTTAGAAAGTGGCAATTGTTGCACACCAGCGAATCAAAGCCAAAGCACAATCATGCATCAATCACTCACAGTTTTTCACTGATTCGTCATCAACTTTAGAGCGTCGACTGTTGTCTTCCTTGTTTGGGGATTTAGGGGGGCGCGCCTCAGGACGCTCCCCTTTTTCTATCGGACCCCGCCTGGAGTCGCGGCGCCCGACCGACGATCGGCGTCCGTTGGAGGCGCTCGAAGAATTCCGCCGAACCTTCGATGCCAACACATCAATTCGGGGTTTATTCACAGCATCGAACTTAGCATTAATTCTAGTAAAACTAGTGAGCCTACAAACCCGAAAACCGCTCTAGTTTCAAGAAATGGCCTCGAAAGTCTCTTTCGAT